CCGATTTAGGTGGGGTCCTACTTATTTCCTATTTTAGAAATATGACTTTCTACTCAGGTAGGTACCTACCTACTTCCATTATGGTAAAAAATATTTCATATGGGCCAGGTAATTTAGAAGTTTATCAATTGCATATACCTAATTCATACTTACAAACGATAGGTTACTTCATTAAAAAAATCAGAAAGTAAAAGTAGCAACCCTAAAGAGTAGGCATAAGTGATCGAAAGAAGGGGCGAGCTGGCCTTCTGTAAATTCTCTATTTTGTGGCGCAACACAGTTATTGTACTGATTAGTTATATGAACCTAACCCAAAATATTGTAGAAGAGACCTGAGTTCTACAGGCAATTCGTTTGTAAATACTGCTGTCGTGTAGGGTATCGATTTCAGGTTCCATTATATTGTGTAAGCATAGTGTCAACTTGATCCATCATGCGCTTGGAAAAGTGATACATTTCAGCGAGTTTTGAAATGAATCAAGTACCTATGTTATTTTTTTATCAATTCAGCTTGTTTTACTCGTCTCTAATTTTTATTTCATCATCATCATCTTCCTGCCCTTATCCCAATTACCTGGGGTCGGCGCAACACGTTTCGTTGAACACAAAAATCGTGTTGCAAAAGGATTTGACTGAATTTTACGACCGGCCGCCTACCAGACGTCAACCCTCCTTGGGAATGCTTTTCTGGTGGATTACCACCATACGGTTGGCCCTGGCTGTTTGGGTCGGGTTTATCCCTCGGTCGCCTCTTACGACCCCCACGGAAAGAGTGGGGGTGATGCTAATCTACTCTGCCGGCACCACACGGCTGTCTCTAATTTTTATTTACCTATCGTCTATTCCTAGGCTCACGCGGCGGCTGCGCTTGTGAACTTCAGCGAGGACTGCCCCAAGAACATCCTGACACAATACCTGGAGCCGCTCATGGGCAAGCTTGAAGCCATCCTCACCGCCAAATTCAAAGAGGTAAAAGGACAAATACTACGTGGAAAATATTACAATATGTTTTAGATTGATCTACTACAATGTAGAAATATCGAACTATTCTAATGAAAGTCTTATCGCGATAAGAGTTCCGTTTTGACTATTTTGAGTCATAATTTACTACAGCTTTTGCAATACATAAATCGTGTTATTTATTAATAGGCATGTCCGCACTGCGCGCGGCAAATCGCCGAGGCAAATGCTCGCGAGGAATACGCTCGTGTGGCAGGCGAGCCAAGTTCGGCCCAATTTGGACGCTTAGATAGTATAACTAGCAACCTTCTGAGTGGCGTTGATTTTGGTTCGGCCTTCGCTCGCTCGCCCGAGCATGACCTTGGGTGAGCCCAAACGTATGTCTCACGAGCATTTGCCGCGCGCAGTGTGGACGCGCCTAATGAGGAACACGCGTCATCGTTATGAGATACGAAAATAAATGTATCCAATGAATCGTTAGTGATACAACCATCTCACTGGTTGAATCACATCCATATCATTGGTAGAACAAATGTGGCATTTGCTCCCTCTTTTTCTGACTATAGGGATTGAGGGATCTCAGTTCACAGACAAGTATCATCTATACAAAATTACTCTTTTGTATTGTGGGTGTAGTTAGAACAAAAATAAAATACATTTGGGTAATTTCTTTAAATAAAGTTGTGATTACTATAAGTATGTAAGCGACGATAGTCACTTTTTACTCGAGCGTCATTCCGGCTCTTCCGGATCCTTTAGCAATAACAATTAAATTCACCGACTTGACCATTTAATTTTCTTTCCAGTTGGTAGAGCGCGGCACAAAACTAGTGCTGGAACAGATCGTGACCACCATCGCCTCGGTCGCGGACACCGTGGAGAGCGACTTCGTGGGGTACGTGGAGCGCCTGCTGCCCTGCCTCAAGTACATCATCGCCAACGCCAACACCGAGGAGCTGAAGATGTTGCGCGGGAAGACCATCGAGTGCGTCTCGCTCATCGGTACGTGACAGTCTTAGGCCCCGTTCGCACATGCGGCTTTTTGTCGCGCGACCGTCGGAAATCCCTTGCACTCTCGTCAGATAAAGAGAGAGAAAACCGATTGCCTCTCCGGCCAGAGAACAATAGCGCACAAAAAAGTTGCATGTGTGAACGAACGGGCATTTATTCCCGTGTGTGACATAGTCTACGAACGACCTCCCTGTATCAGTTTTTATACCACCTGCCTCTAGTTGGAGGCCACAGAAGTGATGTCTAGCAAGCAAGAACGATCGTTCAGTAAGTAATCTAATCAATCGTAGACAGCAATCGGTATCGACGGCATCGAATAATGCAGCCATCTTTCGTTCTGGTAAATCAGATTCTACTTCTAGTAGATTAATTGAAACTTCATTAGGTGTAAGATTATTATTATTTGACTACAGTTTCCATGATTCTAGTCACTAACAATCTTACAAGATTAAATAACGAGATAATTAGCGTCCGATGTTCCTTATACATTTGGAGGTCAGTCCCTCGTTAACATAGTAAAAATCTGTGACAAAAGTATTGAATACGCATGCAAAATTACGCTAGGATTAGCAAATATTCATAGTCATTTCAGGTATCACTTTAAGTAGTGACAGTTTGTAAGATACATAAAGTACCCAAGCTGACAAGAAACTGTGTGATCTTATTTTATTTTCTAATTTTTTGACAGGTCTAGCCGTGGGCTCTGAAAAGTTCGTAGACGACGCCATTGAGGTGATGGGTCTACTCATCGGACACATGAAGGGCGAAGGCCTGCCTGCTGACGACCCGCAGACTTCATACCTCATCTCCGCCTGGTCCAGATTCTGCAGGATTCTTGGTACGTACAAATTACGGTATCATTAAGGCCCTCTGCTGCTTGACGCAATGCGAGGACTTGTGCGAAGTACACTCACTTCATCTGCACCACTTCGAGCTTAGTAGTTCATTTCATGAAAACTTACCTATCTGTCGTAAGGAGCACACAGTCGGTGAACGACCGATGTATCTTGGTGTCATAACCGCCTTACCGCAGTATAGGTTTAGCAAGAATGTGTCGGACCGGTACTTTTATCGTGCTACTGTGGAAATTCTAATTTCTTTTAAAACTTTATTGTGTGACGTCAGTGCCGCGTAATGCGCGATATTTAGCACAAGGGACGTTTTTTTGATGTTTTTTGCGAATGGGATATTTTGCGTTTGGAGCTTTTTAGTTAAGCACTATATACTACTTTTTAGTCATGCTTACTTTGTCCCCAGGCAAACGCTTCTCCCAATTCTTACCGATGGTGATGGAACCCGTAATGCGCACGGCCGCCATGAAGCCCGAGGTGGCGCTGCTGGACAACGACGATCTCGAGACCATCGAGGGCGACCTCGACTGGCACTTCGTCACGCTCGGCGAGCAGCAGAACTTCGGCATCAAGACTGCAGGTAAACACATCATGCCATATCTGGTTCACTGTTGAATAGGGCTTTCCGAGGGGTATTTTCCATAGGCTGCAGGTAATTACATCAAGTCATAATGGAACCAGTGATGCGCACGGCTGCCATGAAGCCCGAGGTGGCGCTACTTGACAACGACGACCTCGAGACCATCGAGGGAGACCTCGACTGGCACTTCGTCACGTTAGGCGAGCAGCAAAACTTCGGCATCAAGACTGCAGGTACATACATCAAACCATTATTACTCCACTGTTGAATAGGGCCTATATCTGCTTTACCCAGGGGGTATTTTCCTTATAGGATGTAGAATAAAGAATGGCGAACACAGTGCAATTTCAAATCCATAAATAACGTTTTAGGACTTAGTTCAGTAAGTTATCTCTTAATTAACATAGGCTACACTTTCACGGGGTACTGGTAGCAGCAGCCTCATCTTTTTTCGTGTGGGATACCAAGTCAGAAGTGTCCCATAATTGTTATGCCGCTTATTGCTGCGGCTAAAATCGATGAAACAACGGGTCGGTCGCAGGTCGTCCCATTCGCAACCCGTCCCATGAACATAGAACTAGTCCATGAAACTGACTGAACAACTGTCCCCTGGGGCAAATTTCTGACGTGGGACGAGTTTCGAATGGCACGACCCGCAAACATCCTGAACAAACCTCCAGTATTTTCTATACCTTAAAAACATAATATAATCCAACATTTATCTGTCAGGTCTGGAAGACAAAGCGTCAGCGTGCGACATGCTGGTGTGCTACGCGCGCGAGCTGAAGGAAGACTTCGCGGAGTACGTGGAGGACGTTGTGAAGCTGATGGTGCCCATGCTCAAGTTCTACTTCCACGACGGCGTCAGGACCTCCGCCGCGGAGAGCCTGCCCTACCTGCTCGAGTGCGGAAGGTCAGTCGTCTATCCCTTTTCCTATTTTTTTGCCTATATCCCTTTTTCTATTCCAGCGTTTCCTTTCGTCTTTACGACTGCAATAACGTCTGCAAGGAAACGCTGGAATGAGAGGCGCGTATCGGAAACATTTAGAGAAATCCGAGCAGCTTATTGCAGACGGAGCCAAGCGTGACTACCTAAATGCACAAATATTTCACATGCGTTCTTCATTAAAGTATTTTTATTGATTATCTATACATACAGGGTGGACCATGAAGTGACGTCAATAAAAAGAAATTAGATTCCTCACATCTTGGGGTATTCGAAAATACCCCATGTATGTTCCGCGATTATATTTTAGTTCCCGAGTTATTTTAAAGTTGTATGGGAAAAACTCGAATGTCAGACATGTTTTCTTTTTTGTACGCTAAATAGTCCAAATCATAAACATTGTGCTAGGAAATCAACCGCGCGAGAAGCCCTTAAACGGAAATAAAAAATGGAAAGGAAAAATTACTGCCAGTCGAGATTTACCCATACAACTTTAAAAGTTGAATAACTCTGAAACTAAAAATAATCGCGGAACATTCATGGGGTATTTTCGAATACCCCAAGATGTTAGTAATCTAATTTCTTTTTATTGACGTCACTCCCTGTATAATAATTAATCGTTAATACAAACGAAAATAGTGAAAAAAATTCACGCCGCCGGTGGAATTCGAACCCACTTCTTCTGACAAAGCGAGTCAGATGTGTTGCCGTTATACTACGGCAAGCTCTACCCGAGCTTCTTTCATATTTGTCCGATAGTGGGACTTGATTTTAGCTAGAAAAGTTTTGATATTATTCGACTAAGTTATTTAAGAATATTTCGTTAGGAACAAGGTTTTTACACACTTCTATAACTTTTTAGAACTTTTCTGCACGAGCGTTAGGTATAATTGAGGTATTTTTAATATCTCTAATTATACAACTAAATATAATATTTAAGTTACATTTTTTGATTGAAACTGTCACACACACGTTTATATTTTATTTTGTATAAATTTTAGAATATTTAGGTACTTGCGAATATGGAAATTAAAACTTTACTTCTGATTTCATTGATATTGAATTCGAGTTTCTAAAATTCATAAAATAAACTTTTAGGCATTATATAAAGCTACCAATAAAAGATTAGAAATATGAGAACTCAGCTTGACTTAATTATTTAAGTTTTTTGTCGCAGTAAGATTAATATTGAATTTAAGTGAGTAAGTCCGTAACCATTTCATAATACCAATAAACAAAACTATAATACAAAATTTTAGAATTTTTCGCTAAAAGCTTTACGAAATAATAAGCAATATTTAAAAAGGCGCGTAATTTTATATTTCGCGCGCTGGGAGCGCCGGCGGCGCGCCGTGCGAGCGAGCCGTGCCTCGCCCCCTGCGCACTACCCTACCCCGCCGCCCACCGCAAAACAAATTTGACTTGATTGTTTGTTTACGTGCTGCGCTGCAATTATTACTACTTATTACTTCATAATGAGTGATCAGTGTGTAATTTGTGGACTTTATTTAAATGGCTTATTCTTCTCGGTGATGGATCTGATGAGTGGCACAAGAAAACACACAGATGTGATCATGGTAAAAAAAAATATGTCGATTTTTTCTTAGGTAGTATAAACCATTGGTTATGTAGGCAAAGTTTCAAAATTAGCATTAATATTGTAGATAGATAATTCAAAAATATTTTTCAAACCTTCATTCTTTAAATTCCGTAGGCGGTGTCCACTCCACTTTTGGCTGTTAAACGCCTTAAAATTGCTACTGTTACAGTAAATTTGGCTTACATTTTGATAAATAAGTATAGATGAAAACTGAACGAAAGTATCATTATTATGCCATCGTATATTTTATTAAAGCCATAGTTTAAAAAACAAGCTAACTTAAACAATGGTGTCCATTATCCATATCAGTTCCGTATGCACCACTTTAAAAGCATATCTCTATTCAACTATTAAACCTAGATAGGTATAATTTTATCCTGCCAGGACGTTACCTCATACTTATTAAAGAAGATTTATTGGTCAGATTTGCGTACTATTTACAGAAATAGGCTAAATAAGCGTAGACATTTCAGATCCGTATTTTTTTTTCCGATTTCATCATACCTACTAAGGCGATTTTCTCCTGTTAGTGACACATTTAATTTTTTTGAACACTGGTATGTCATGTACCACTTTTTACTGAAATTAATCGTATGGAGCAATTCGCCTTATGCGTAGTAAGTTTCTTGCAAATTGAAAAAAATATGCCTTGGTTATCAGATCCATCACCTCAGATCCTTCATATTCCGTCATCCTTGCGGTGACGGATCTGATAAGGTGACGACGGAATAAAGAGAATCGATAAAAGTGGACAAAATTTGGTGTCCACAGTTGGCCACTTTTTATCCTAATACATACAAATCATAAAAGTGAAAGTAAATATTTTGATATGTTAGCACTGGAGAGTCCAATCCAGAGTGTCTGATATAGACCACCAGGAGGCCATCTTGACTATAACAGATACGTGAATGGTTCCATAACATAATTTGTTCAGCGTGGTGGGTAGCTTTTGCTGGCACATGGAGATCGAGGGTCTAGCGTACGTGATGTAGACCACCAGGAACTTGGCTAATTTATATGATAGGCTGGTGCTGCTGGTTGGTACATGCAAATCAATGAACGTAATCTACATCAGCCTATTGTAGTCCACTGCTGGACGTAGGCCTCCCACAGGGAACGCCATAAAGCACGATCTCCCGTTTTTGCTATCCAGTCGTTACCAGCCGCCTTTTTTAAGTCTTCAGTCCATCTGGCCGGAGGGCGGCAACGCTACGCTTGCCGAGAACCCGCTTACTCTACCGTTCATCGCTCACTGCCACTACAGCTTGCTACACTTATGTCCGTCACTTTGGTCCTTTGTGGATAGCCTCATTCCGGATTTTATCCAGAGATACCGAGCATAAGCCTTTCCATACCTCTTTGAGTGACATGTACCCTGTGGGCCAGTTTTACTATCAAGCTCCACGTCTCGGCTCCGTAAGTCATGACTGGTAGGACGCATTGACCAAACACCTTGGTCTTGAGGCATTATGGCAAAGATGATGCAGCTTCCCAAATGCTACCCAGCCAAGCTGCACTCTTCTGGTGATTTCAGCTTCAAACTTGTCTCTACCCATCTGCAAAGTTTGCCCAGGGTACACATATTTCTGAACAACTTTAAGGGCTACACCTTCGACGGAGACCGGCTCGGGGATAATGAGTGATTATGATTGAACATGACCTTCGTCTTATCCAAGTTAAGTTCATCTCAAGTCCAAAATGTCTCGAGGCAGAGTTAAGAGTCGATAGCATTTTTTGCAGGTCCTACAGCGATTCGGCCATTATGACTATGTCGTCGGCAAAGCGGAGATGCATGAGATTTTTGCCGTTGACGTTAATGCCCAGTCTATCCCACCGTAGAGTCTTAAAGAAATTCTCCAGTGCTTTGGTGAAGAGTTTCGGGGATATAACGTCACCCTGTCTTACACCACGGAGCAGTTGAATGGACCTTGTATTGTGGTTTTGTACTTGAACGGACATCGTAGCTATTTGATAGAGGCTTCTCAGCACCTGAACATACTGCCAGTTGACTTGGCACCGCTGCAAAGACTCCAATACAGCTCAGGTTTCGATAGAGTCGAAGGCTTTTTCGTAGTCCACAAAGGCCACTCAGTGGTTGGTTTGGTTGTACTGTTTTGGCATAGGAACAACCTGCCTTACAGTCTGAACCTGTTTCGGTGACTGAAAGGCATCAAATCTTGATGCCAGACTATTGGTGACGACTCTCGAGAACAGCTTGTAGACGTGGCCTTAAGTAGCTCAGAGGCCATTCCGTCTTCCCCGGGAGCCTTCCCATTCCTAATCTGTCTGAGAGCCGCCCCGATTTGGTCTTTATCTACGTCTGGAAGACCTTCTGTAAAGTGGCGGTGAAGGCTTTTGCGCATGCGAGGCATACTACAGATTTCCAAAGAAGTTCTCAATTTCAGCGAGAATATCTAGAACCAATATGACAGTTACACCATTCGAGGTAGTTTAGCTTTGCCAGATGACTCCTTCCCATTGTCTTGGTAAAAACTTTCGACCCTCGGTTCTTGTCAATCGCCTCCTTTACGAGTCGAGTCGGAGGTCGCGTCTTACCATACTTCGGATCTTTTTTTAAGGGATCTGGCAATGCATCATCTGGCGTATCCAGACTAATTTGCGTCAGTGCCAGACCAGGGCCTCGCTCGAAAGTTTGGACTTCTAATCTGTTCGCCTTTTACGAAAGTGCTTCGTCCCCACTTCGCGAACAACCCCGACTATGCCCTCTAGGTCCTCGTCAACGTTTATCGGGGTCTCCAGGGTAGCGAATCGATTTTTCAGTTCAAGTAAGAATTCCTCATGTCCGGCTTGGGGCAGCTTGGGGTGGAGAACTGGCTTCACCATGCGGTTTCTTTAAAGCTTGAAGTTGATATTTAGGGTGCCTCTTACTAGTCGTTGATCGCTTCTGGTATTGAATTTACTGATCACGATCACTAACATCCCTTATTATATGCCGTTTATCCGTCATGATGAAGTTGATTTCGTTCTTCGTCCTGCCGTCAGGGTTATTCCAGGTCCACTTCCGTTTTGAGCTTTTTCTGATAAAAGGTGTTCATACAGATCTCAACCTATTCATGGGGGTTTGCCCATAGTCACCGCTCTGGGCACGCAAATTGGTGACCGCAAAGTGTGTTTGTAGACTATGTTGTTAACACGGGAGGCGCTGCGACGGTAGAGGGCGCGGGTAGTTACTGTCGGCCAGACACAGCATCCGACCTTTCCTTCAGTTGTAGCGGTTCTCCGTTCCACTGAACCGGGGAGGGGAAGGACTAAGTGTGTGCGCTTGCGTTTGCGCGAACGTCTGCGCAACCTAATATATCCTGCGCAACTGACCGCTTCCGAATAATGGACTCCGATGACGCTAAGTCCTGCGGCGATGGGTTGAAGTAGAGAGGTCTAGCGTGGTGCAAGCTGGGCTTTGTCTGATTCCTGCACGCAGGCGGTCCCAGGGGTGTGAGTACACGCCGTGGTCGCTTTTGCATTGAAAAATCGGGACGACAATGCTAATTCGGCAGCACCTGGGATGACAAGAGCAGCCCTATTTAGGGAAGCACTGCTCTCCTCGCTCAGTCGAAATGATAAACAAATGCTCGTCCCTTCCTGGAAGGTGGTAGTAACCACGGCTGCCATCGCATCACTTAACACGTGGTCGACGCAACAAAAATAAAATAAATAACACACCATCTATAATGACATTTGGCGCATGGAACGTGAGAACGCTCATTGATAGAGATGGCAACGCCTGTCCTGAACGTAAAACCGCTATAGTAGCTCGGGAACTTCATCGCTATAACGTGGATGTGGCTGCACTCAGCGAAACACATCTTGCCGATGAAGGAGAACTAGTGGAAGATGGAGGGGGATACACTTTCTTCTGGAAAGGTACATCCGTATCTGAACCTCGACGTTCAGGGGTAGGATTTGCCATCAAAAATCATTTAGTAAAGCGACTTGAAGAATGTCCTGTTCACATCTCGGACCGCGTTACCACACTGCGCCTTCACTTGGACAAAGACAACTACCTTAATGTTATCAGTGTCTATGTTCCAACGCTAGACAAGTCTGATGACATTAAGGACAAATTCTATGAGGAACTATCTCAATGCCTTGACAGCATAAACGCCA